GGTACTTTTCTCAACTCTGTCCACCTTGGTAGGCAGTGGAAGATCCTGTGATGTACTCTTTATGTTGGGTCTTTGGCATTGTAGCAGATTCTGGAAAAACAGGCAGTTGTTCAAGTTCCCTTTGCCATTAATAAGGTAATTTTAATAGAATAGTAACTACAACTGGTTTGTGGAATCTGAACTGTGCAATGAGCAGACCATATTAAATTTGGATTAAAAAAAACCTCAATGAATAATCTTTACCCCGAGTTAGATTTCTAATGTGCGGTTTGAGGCTTTTTAGCAACACTAGGCAATCAATGAATGTGAATGAGTAACTCTAGTATTAAGTAATATTTAAAATTGTAAAAATTGTAAACTTTGTGCATTTATTTCAATACTAAAACTTTGACTCAAAGGATTGCTTCATATTACAAACAGCATAAATAATGACGAATAATCATAAATAAGTTATTCATAATTAATATTTGTGGCAAGATGAAAACCGAGGGTAGTTCAAAAATATGTAACTGATTTCATATTGCGAAAAAGGGGCTTGGAGTTCATGGGACTGCACACCAAATAAATTTACCTGTATTTAAAACACTAACGATGAAAAAACATAACTTGGCTTAAATTCAAAGTCTTGTTTGAGAAACAGCAGGGTCAAAAAATAATCTACATACTAATATTGAACAGTGTTTCATTCCTTGATTGCATTGGAGCTCCAACTACCATCATACCTACATTTACACTCATGGTGCAATGTTTAAATTAATATTCTCTAATAATTTAACATCTTATTGACAGGGAAAACAAAAGTAATAATTATTTTGTACAATTAGATGTAAATTCAGGTACAACGCAGTTAAACATGTGTATATGAATGTACTGTATAGTAATAAAACATATTGTACTTGGTAAATTTGAAAGTTTTCTGGATGGAAATAAGGAACAGAACTCTTCTTCCTCAGAGCCTCTTTGCAAGTCCTCTCTTCACTCATCTCCTGTCTGAAATACATAATCAAGCAGAAAATATTAAACATAAATAAACTGCCCTGTCAGTCACATACGATTTATATAATGCTAGTTCAATAATTTCCTGCTTTCATTCATTTTAGCCTGGAGATGGTGGGACTGAAACAGCTCTATTTGAATGAATGAATAACGGCATACAGGAAATTACACAGTAGAAAATTTTGTGCCTGCATTTCTGTATGTGATGACTTTCCACAGATATTCTGACCATGTATTAAAGAATGCAGATTATGAAGAACTTAAAGGCTGCAAACAGTAGAGCTGTGAAAAACAAACAAACAAGAGAACAATGTCTTCCAGAAACAGAACGTATAGATCTTGAAAGTATAAAACAAATGAATCACAGACATTTCATTGTATTTAAAAGCAAAAAAGACATTTCAAAAAAGATTCTTTTGAGACACAATGACCTCCAGTATTTAGATAATACATCACAAATTTAACAACCAGAGCAGAAAGACTGATTGACTGGCAGGTCAACCACTATGAACATATAACCAAATCTACAATAGTTTATATCAAGGCAAAAATTCTGAACTAAATCAAACTGGTAACCTGTGGCAAAACAATGGCCTGAATTTATGGAGATTCTTATTTAGGACCAAAATTTTACCAATAAATTTAATCTTTTAAAGACAGGATATGTCATAATCTGTGAACACCCAAATCTGTATTTAATTGCCGTAATTTATTTAACTGGGTTTGAGTCACAGAACGCAATGAAGATTTGATTCAAATGTATGCCTTACAGAAAAAGTCCCACGAGAAAAAGACTACATAGACTATAGGACAATTAAATAGTCCTCCCACCACCAAATCTAAGACTTTTGACAAACATATTTAAGTCCAAATTATGGTTTAATGCAGTGGTTCCCAAACTTTTTCTTCTGCGCCCCTCCCCCCAGTGGTTGCCCCCCCCCACTACGGATTACAAATGGCTTTTTGGGGGCAAAATGAATGTACGTAGCTGAAAATAGACACCAACATCGGTAGCCTACAAGGTACTTGTTAAGCTTAAG